GTAAACAAAGACACTGGACTTCCTTTGTTGAATATTTCTACATTTATTTCTCCTGTTAGGTTGCCATTTCTGCAATCCCTTCTTGAACCAGAATCACTGAGGCAGGATTGGCTGGAGCTGGCGCTTACCCATGATGCTCCTCAACACTGTGACACCCTGACTCCCAATGGACAACCCAGGTCTGAGTCTGTTATTGTGTGAAAGTTTTCATGTAATACATAAGTATCTTTAACAATCAGTTCTGCCCATGTATGCATGTGTTTACAGCATATACGTATTATATTTAAACCTTGAAAGGCCCAGTAAATGTGATTTTAGACATCAACCAGGTAAACTTAAACTGAAATCACCACAGCTGGACAGACATTACTGGATTCTATTTGAGTCACAACTAGATGAGAAACTGAAGTGAAAGTGAAGCCCACAAATAAATTAAAGAACAGATTTCTTTTTTTTTGTCTCTCCTCTGCAGGTGGCATTCACATTGTTTCAGTTGGGGTTATGGTCGTCTTTTGTCTCTGCTGATCCGGCTTCCTGCAGACTTTCCCTCAAAACAGAAGATGGCAGAGACTTGCCGCAGTCACGGGTATTTTAGAATTTCTTAGTCTGAAAAACAGGCAGTTTGTGTTGTTGATTTTTGGCAGTTTACAGTCAAATACTGTGTAACCTTTTGTATAACCTGTGTTCTTACAGGTACTGGACCGGTTACCTCTACCTTTGCAGCGAGCTGCAGCGTCGCACAGAAGCGTTTTCCACCATCTGTCAGCTGGATGACATCAGCCTGCTGGAGGAAACTGATGGTAAAAATGTTCCACCAAAACATTATCTTTGGGACAGCAGAGTAAGATGAATTAAATCTATAGTGGGCTCTCAGTAATCAAATTACTGAGGTCAAATTACTGAGATATACTGAAACTGATACCTCAGCTGAATGCCAATCCAGTGCACTTACACATACAGACACATTCATGCATGTAGTACAGGAGAAGTGCTGCCCCACTGTAATCTCATTACAATACACGATATGAGCCCAACAGCCAAACTAGACAAAGATGAACACAAATACATGAAAGACAAGAAAATATTATCTAAATCTGAAATTACAACTTAATTATCATCATGGGAGAAAAATTCTGCCCGTACTATTGTTCTCACAAATTGCATTATGGGTCAGTATGAATGATCTGATTACTATTATTGTCTGGTTTGAATGCCAATCGTGTTCTATCAGATCCACTTAACATAACCCCTATTGCATCTTATTAAGTTAAACCTTCATTATCAGTAAATAACTGAAGGTAGATGTAACTAAATAATCGGTGATCAGCTGTTACCACTCAAAAAAACTAGAAATACTACAGTAGCTACTAAATTAATCAACTTACCTTAACTAATCTCAATGAAGATAGCCTCAATACTATTGTTAAGCTGTAGCTGCAACCTCAAAATGAGCTGAGTAGCAGAAGATGTGAAATGTTGATTATTAATTGACATTGATGTTGTGACACATTGAAACAGTGGAAACACAGTGACTTTACTGACTGTTTTAACCTCAGCAAATCTAGTTATCACACTACGTGCCATTTTAGCAAAACAGCCTGGTGATAAACTTGAAAACTGTCTGTACAGGGAGGAGGTTCAGGATCAGCTGGTGCTTTTCCACCTTTATGTCCCACTCCCTTTAGGGGACACAACTACTGCTGCTTTTACTTTTTCATCTTATCATTGTAGAGAAAGAGTACAATGTCAGCACCTGAATGTATTTAAACAAATTCTTTTTAGCGTAACATTGGCAATCTTTCTGGTGTTCAGAAGGTCCTTTAATACTTACAGTCAGCATGTAGATACAAATAGAGTCCAGGTAGTTAATACCACAAAGATGTAGCACCAACAGGTTAAACCACCGTCTTACACTAATCGTCTGCCCTGGCTCTTTGTTACTTTGCAGGTGTTGAGCCACAGACCTTGGATGAGTGGAAGCTCCTGATCCAGCTGTCGCAGCAGTGCAGCAGTGCATCAGACTCAGAGCAGGTTTCTGGTGTGAATGGGAGCAGCTGGTCCAATGGCTCAACAGACTGTGGAGGAAAGATCAACCCCGAGAATCTGACTCTCATGCTGGCTCGGACCGCCGGGCCTGACCGAGCCCTGGAGGTGCTGGAGGACTGTGGAGTTCAGCTGGTCCTCTCACCTCACTCCACACTGGTCTGTGAGCTGCTGAGAGTCACTGAGAAGAGGCAGAGGTGGGTCCATCACTCAGCTATTGAGCTTTTTTACGCCTGCAAGATGTAGATGTGGACAACAATAAAAATCTCCCAAACATGACAATCTGGGTTTCTTGTGGCACCAGACTAATTTCCTGATTTGATTTTATCTTTTTGTTCGACGATTTGGAGAAACAATCTCAAACAACAAACCTGCATTTGTTAACATGTTGGGATGTGGACACAATACTAACACATTGAAATATTAGGGGAAAGTTGCATCAACTCAATAAAGTTGCCTCTTTTGGAGAGCAGAATGGTCTGGAGAATCCCAAAAGTATTTTAGAGATGTAAAAACTCCTTTTTAATAAGCAGATATCAAACCAAAATGTGCGAAAGAAGTTTGTAACATCTCTACAAATATGTAACGATGTCTTCTTTTTCAGGGCGATGATCCAGACGATGCTGGAGCGATGCGATCGGTTCCTCTGGTCTCAGCATGCATAACTTCATATCGCCAATATGTGGACAGCAGCTGCTCTGAAACCAAATAACACAACTAACACTTTATGTAAGTCTTCCCACTAACTGCTGTCGAAGCTGTGACTTAATTTGAATACTGTGACGTTTGTCAAAGCTTCCCAGCTCACATGAAGGTACTTAGGCCTCTAGTGAAAACAGTGCTGTCTGTTTAACACGTCTACATTTCATCAACTTGATGATTTTGTCAATATTCAGGTGTATGTACGTTTTGTTTTTTATAATTTAGGTTCATTCTTTTTGCATGTGCAGGTAATAAAATATCTCATGTGCTTTATCTTTGCAGTCAAAGACCAAATGAATCGGTAGATTTTGCTGCTGTGACAAAAAAAAACAAAAAAACTGGCAATAATAACAGTGTAATATTCTAACTGGGTAATATCATGTGAATAAAAGCTGTCTGTTTGAAACCTATTACTATTTTGATTGTTTTTGTATGAAAGATCAAAAGCTTTGGGTCAGTATGATGATGATAATCGAGCTTGGTGTCTGTATTTTCACCCCAGGTGTTCATGTCAGAACCTTTGGGGAAAAATCCACAAAAAGTTCAACTGCGAAAATCCAACAAGCAGATTAATTACTAATCTGCTTTTGTTTATTTGTGCACAACAAAAGTATTAAAAAAGCCTTTTTTCTTTTACTTTTAGAGTTTTATAAAATGGCCAAAAAGAAAAGCCAACTTCTCCCCATTGTCCAGCCATGAAGACAGTTTTGGTTCATTTGAGGTTTTATAAGACTCCACATGACCAGAAACCAATATGTAGAAGTGGGAAATGTGGGTCAACTGGCCTTTAATCTGCCTGTATGTCAAATATTTGCTTGCATTTTTGAGAACAGACGATTTCTACAACATCAACACTTCTCCCAGCAGATGATGGGTAATGTGGATCAACAGAGATAATATTAATAACAGCGTAATGAAATGGGACTGATGACTCATTTGATAGTATCACACACCTGGAGCATCAAAGAGGAGACAGCGGGCGGGTCGAATCCTGGTGCTTCACATTTGAGTTTTTAAGGCTCACACTGGACACAGCCACTGAGACCTTTCTGTCTCAGCCTTTGTGGGGATTTTTTTCCCCCCTTTTCATCCTGATGCGTAGTTCGTCATTTCCCAAAATCCCTGCTTCTCTCATCTTCCAGCTCACCCACCTGCCTGTGTCACTGGCACCAAGACGATCAGATTGAAACTCTTGCAATGTGGCAAAGACACAGCCACGCTTGTGATGAAAATAATCAAAACTGACCTCACCGTCGTTGTGAAATTCTATTTGACCGCTTAAAAATAATAACCGAGCCTGACTTTTTAATCTGCTACTAAGGTTACGTGGACATCTAATATTTCAACCGCCTCTTTGTTTGGTTGATTGGTCCACTACAACAAAGTCATACATTCTCTGCTCTTTTGCAGGATGGGTCGAATTATTTCACTTATTTGAAATGCTGATTTGACAGAGGCTTTTCATCATGGGCGAAAGCACAGAAGTATATTTGATTTGAAAGGTTATTAGGTCGCAGCAGTGAGTCCAGTGTTTGATGTTGCGGTCCTGTCACCAGAAGGACAGATAAGGGGATTCTGCACATACCTGTTGGCCCCGCCGCCAGTGTATACATAGCAACCCCGACACTTGGAGCCACACACACGCGCTTACACCTGCCGACTTTCAAGATGAGTCAAATTGAGCACAGCGGCAAGATACTGTGAGCGTCATTCGTCTTCTAGACCTGAAGTCCTTTTCACTGAACAGTTTACAGGATCTAGATGGACGCAGCACTCATGGTGAGTTTAAGTTTTTCAAATACATTTCATACAACAGTTTGACCCATTTTTTAGTTTAATTCAGTCGCTTTTGGTTTCAGGTGTCTCTGCTTGGGCTGGCTGTCGTCCTGCTCTCCTTGCCTGAGTATGCTTCACTGAACAGTGTATCTGACAACACCTCAGGTAGGATTTCTGTTTGGTTATTACTAAAAACTTTTTTAAAAAGATCAGGTACTGAAGAGCTCTTCTAACTGCATCTGTGTTCTTCTTTGTGATCACCTCAGAAACTCTGTACCTGGGTTCTGTGTATGTTGACGAGGCTCTCCAGAGGGCGATTGAGCTGACTGATGCTGCTTACGCCCGCACGAGCGAAAGGTACAAATTCCTCTGTTTTGGTCAGAAGTGGATATTTGTCACACCCACAGCAAAACGCAGATTGTGATTTTTAAGTCTCCGAGCCACTAAAAGACAAAGCTCTCAACGTTTGCAGGGTGAAGATGTCTTTGTCCGAAGGCGCACTGAGACCCAGTGACTTGCTGGCTCAGTTTAAACACATTGAAGCCAGAACCACGGCTCAGATCCGGGCTGCTGAACTGCTGGACAACACAGTGGAGCTGATCAGAGAGATGGTCTACACCAACACTATGGTGCAGCCCAACCCATACGGTAGTAAACAGCACCGGAACAGCCCACACACACAGATGTTACTGCACCTATAGATCAGATTATTATTTGATGAAGAATAAAACAAACATTAAATTCCACATCATGCTTGCAACATACTGTCTTTTAGATTGCTTCAGGAGACAATTTAATGCATTCAGTATTTATCTTTTAGTTCCATCATATTTTTACACCAGTAACCATTCAGTTGCATCACTTTTACACTTATTTTAAACAGCTGTAGTATGAGTATTTGTGCAGATTGAAATTATTCCTTGATCCTGTCACACACAATTTAACTGTGAATTTGCAGTTTTCACATACAGTTGTTCATATTGTGCTAGAAAATGAAACTATACAGAGGTTATGACGAGTGAAATAGCCCAACAGTCTCAGAATTAAGCTCTTCCAAAGGCACTGTAAGACACACATTATCAGATTTCAGTAAAATGGCAAATGATGCAATATCTTTTATGATGTGTTTTCTTAATGTTTAGGAATTATTTATATCATTCAAGGTTTGCTGTGTTTACTGTTTGTTCCCACAGAGCTGCTGAGTGACGGAGATGTAGAGAATCTGCTGCAGGTGACGGGCTGCTCTGCTGAGCTGCAGACACCCAGCTGTCAGACAGACTGTCTGTCTGAGCGCTACAGATCCATCACAGGCGAGTGCAACAACAGGTCAGAGCCGACATAGAACACATGCAGTAACGGAGTAGTGCTGTCCTTGAGAGACTTTGCTGTAGTTTTTGTCTCTCTCTCTCTGTTCAGACAACATCCACGATGGGGTGCTGCCAACATCCCGTATTCCCGCTGGTTGCCCCCCGAGTACGAGGATGTGTGGGGGACGCCCAAAGGCTGGGAACCGAAACACACCTACCACAACTTCAGCCTGCCTCCAGTAAGAGCCGTGCAGCAGATCTCAGTCCTGTCAGCTGCCGCCACTCCGTCATTCCTTGTCTTGTTCGTTGTTTAGGTGCGCCTCGTGTCACAGGAAGTGCTGTTTACTCACAATGACAACATCTCTGTGGACTCAACTCTGTCCCACCTGCTGGTGGACTGGGGTCAGTGGATCGACCACGATGTGGTGCTGACGCCTCAGAGCCCCAGTAGAGCTGCTTTCAAGACCGGAGCTGACTGCACCCACACCTGCAGCCGATACACACCCTGCTTCCCCATTCAGGTGCTTTGATTTCTGTCTGATTTTCTGTTGCATGAAGTAATCTTCTCTAAGTGTGTACACTAACATAGGCTCACGTTAAAGACCGACAACAGAAGATGTGAACATTACCTAAAACTCTATCAGTTTGTGCCTTTTTCAGAGACACTGCTTTCACTGTATCCCCTTAAAACAAAGAAGTGTCTGCTTAAGATCTATTGTCCCTGAGCATATGTTGTCCATGAGTTATGATGAGGTCATGCAATGAGAAATCTTTGTTTCCTTGTTTTGGAAGTAGTGCGTTGAAGGTGTCACAATTCCCAGATGTGGAAACACTGTTGTGAAATATTGGAATGTTCTTAAAGAACAATAAAAGGAAATATCAAATTTTAAAAATATATTTCCCATTTTATATGAAAAAAACTATTTTTTATACTCAGCCAGAATCTAATCATGTTAAGGATGAAGCCAGAAAAAAAAAGAGAGAAATTGACAGTTGTATTCTCTTTTAACACGTAATTCCAACATTTCTCATTATGGAAGTATTGTAGTATCCAAAAAGAAAACAAGTTCCTTAGTTTGTACAGCAGACATACGTCTAACATAATTGGATCACCTTTTAATCTTCTATCAGACTTCAATACTGCAGTTCAGCCGTTTTAAATTTAAATATAAAATCATTTTTAAAAAGTCAACATTATTCTTGCACACTTTGGTGTGTTTTCCCAATAAAACTGACCTTACTTGCATCAGTTTCTTGGCTGTCACAAAGCCAATGATTGGCTTTTTGAAGAGAGGGGCCGGACATGTATCACACAACCTCCATCTTTGGCATTACTAAATTCCCCTGTAACATTCTATTCAGGATTTTTTAAAGTGGTGATTCCCTCCCTGATAACACATTACTCTGGTAATATTATGTAAAATAAATGAATAAATCAATAAATCAAACTGCTTAATATGAGAACATTTCTTTGCCTCATCAGCATCAATGTGAAACAAAACCTTCTTTTCCAGATCCCACTTTCTGATCCTCGTTATGGCATCCAGAGTTGTATGCCTTTCTTCCGCTCTGCTCCCAGCTGCAACACTGGAGTTCTGCCTCATCGCCATCGTGAGCAGCTCAACGCCATCACCTCCTTTGTAGACGCCAGCATGGTGTACGGCAGCACCAACAGTCTGGCCTCCGTTCTCAGAAACACCTCATCTCCTCTGGGCTCAATGGCCCTCAACTCCCAGCACTCAGACCAAGATCTGGCCTACATGCCCTTCCTGCCTCGTCTGCAGGCTCACCTGGACCCCTGTGGTCCTCGCAACTCCACTACCTCAGAGGCATCAGGCAGGTCTGTGCACCTGGACAACACCACGTCCTGCTTTCAAGCTGGTGAGTTAGCGGATGAGTGTAATGAATAATCTGCTCTCTGCCAGCTTCAGTGCAGCTGGTCTTCATGATTACTGTTTAACAGGTGATTCGAGAGCCAATGAACATTTGGGACTGATCGCGCTGCACACACTCTTTCTGAGAGAACACAACCGACTGGTCGAAGAGCTGCACCTGCTCAACCTTCACTGGAGCCCTGAGACTCTCTATCAGGAGGCGCGCAAGATCATAGGAGCCATTCACCAGGTATCAGCAGCAGTTTCAGCTGGGCATTCATTCAAATCCACCTCTTTTAGAACTCTCAACACTCCAACCTGCTTTCTTTATCTTTTAAGATCCTAACATGGGAGCACTACCTGCCACGGATTCTTGGTGAGAGTGCCATGTCTCATCTGATGCCTCCCTACCAGGGATATGATCCTGACGTGGATCCCAGCATTGCTAACATATTTGCAACTGCTGCATTTCGTTTTGCTCACGTCACCGTGCAGCCAGTGGTGACCCGGTTGGGGCCAGGATACACCATGAACTCCCAGTATCCCCCGCTGCCGCTGCATCATTCACTGTTTGCCTCTTGGAGGGTTGTGCAGGAAGGTAAAGAGTGATGTCATCATTGTATTTAAATCATATGTGAGTTCTTCTATAATAATAATTGATTAGATTTATATAGCGCTTTTCTCAGCACTCAAAGACACTTTACACTATCAATTATTCATTCACACACATTCATTCCGGTGATGGTAGCTACGATTGTAGCCACAACTGCCCTGGAGCAGACTGACAGACGCCTGGCTGCCATTCTGCACCTACAGCCCCTCTGACCACCACCTCAAACAATCCATTCATACACATTCACAACAGGCAAGGTGGGTGAAGTGTCTTGCCCAAGGACACAACGACCATGAAACAGGTTACAGGGTGGAATCAAACCGCCGACCTTCCAATCATTGACCGACTCGCTCTAACACCTGAGCCACAGCATTGTCTGTATTTCATTTTCTGCTGGTGTTTCAGGTGGGATAGACCCTGTGCTGCGTGGCCTGTTGCTGTCTCCGGCTAAGCTGCAGACTGCTGGTCAGATGATGGTGGAGGAGCTGACGGAGAGGCTGTTCCAGGCACAGGGAGGGATGCCTCTGGACCTCGGGGCCCTAAACCTCCAGAGGGGTCGGGACCACGGCCTGCCGGGTAACCAGCTATCTTCACTCCATCACAGCACATAGTGACTTTGTCATTTTGCTGTAAAAGTCCTCTGCTTACTGTCAGCAAGGATTGTTTCAACAGTTAGACTGTATTTTTTTACTTGACCAATGTTTTGATTTTAATTTCTGTTGATCACATTACTGTTCAATTATTTTATTCACTTAATTTAAGGGTTAAGATTGAATTTAACTTCAGCAATTTTGTAAAACAAACTTGGTTAGTGAGGATTATGAGAAAGTAATTAGAGCATTTTGCTCTTTCATAGAAGAAAAGATTTAAGTCTAAGTAAACCATGTTTGTTGTTTTGCTCCAGTTAAATACTACATAATAAATCGTAATTCCTGAAACAGTTCCAGATGTAGGAATGTGGGTTAATTAGCCTCCCAGCTGCCCAATAGTCCACATGATGCTTTGCTGTTGTTTGTTCAAGTCGCATGATCAAAATAAATGAAACAAAAAATGATTTTTTTATTACATTACAAATTAATATTTGTCTCTCAGTATGTTTTTTAATTGATTATGATTAGGTTGTTACTTCAGAATTTGACTTTTAAACAAAAAGAAATAAAAAGACTAGCGCAGTCCATGATGTAAGCTATGTAGCACATCTGGACATGAAAGAATTTATCAGGTGCTATGTGTGAACATCAGTCACAGACTGGTGATGTAGGGACTGTATGAGGGCCTGATGTAGTGACACAAATTCTCAAATGTAGCCAACAGGCTAAAAAATGAATGAGTGAATAAATAAACCAAAGAAAGTAAAGACAATGTTATTATAACAATGCTGTAGATACAATATAGCACCAATAGTATTTTGTGAATCCCTAATACATATTGTAGCTGACAGATCATTGCACGGTGAGCTGCGCTATATAAAAGGCTGCATAATGCGTGTAGTGCCTAAGTCCTGTTCAAAGTCACTACTGGCTGCTTAAGAGAATTGTTTGGCCGTGCGCCCAGTGGGCTCCGGACACAGCAAAAAGCAGGTTCCCTTGTTAATAAGGCAGGTTTATTTTCCTTTATAAATCACACATGTAAATATAATATACCTTAAAACAAAATAACAAAGGCATTGCTGTTCACCATACACAGTCGAAAAACTGTTTGCTTCTCCCAAATGAGCAACACCTGCCTCTGGATGTACCTTAATTAAACACCCCATTTCGGCTGACCCCAGGTAACCTCAGTCACATACAATACAGCCCCCTAGTGGCATGGAGCATACAACACAAAAATAATGGAATGTATGAATATGGCTTCGACACTGTGGTTGTGCTACTGGGTCTGTGGCTGGCTGCAGACTCCCCCAGACATGTTTTGTTTTTATTCACAGATCAAATTCTGAGACAACAAACCAACATGAACAATTACAAATTAAACTGAGAGACAATTATCCGTTTGCGAAATAACCAGAAAAAGATCAGAAAAATTTCAAACCCAGTTTTCATTTGATTCATTTTGATGATACAAATCAAAGAAAGAACTGCAAAGTGTGACAGAGACTCCCGCTGGTCTATTCATAGTTGTTTGAATAAGTGTTATTTGTCAGTTTAGAACAGAAATGGGACTTCAGAAGCCTCTCTTAGGATTTGATTTGCTGAGGCGGTGAGCCGCCGAGATCTGGCATCACGTCATGTAAGCAGTTTTGATGATGTTTGGAATCAGTAAAAGCTTTGCACCGAATTTCAGAGAATTCTTTAAAAAGCATCTAAAAAAAAACAATTTGTTTTCTTTCAGTTATTTTCCCGTTACTCCTTCCTTTCTTCCTGTAAAGCATGTTTTAACATCTGTGCCAAAAAGTGCTCGTATTTACTGCTAGAAATAGTGTTTTGTTTCACTCGCAGAGGTAATGTTTCAGACAAAGTGGTCATGTTCATTATAAAACACTGCAGGATGCACTTGTATTTAAAGCTCTTTCATACTCATCGAAGTTCTTTACTAGATCTTTACCCTCCTGCCCTCATCTCCTCCATCAGGATACGCTTCTTGGCGAAGGTTCTGTGGCCTTCCTGTTCCCAGTAATACATCAGAGCTGGCTGAAATTCTAGGTAACTTCACTCTGGCTCACAAATTCCAGCGTTTATACGGAACACCATACAACATCGATGTGTGGGTGGGGGCCATCTCTGAGCCCGCTCTGCCTGGAGGCCGAGTCGGCCCGCTTCTGTCCTGCCTGCTGGCCAGACAGTTCAGAGCGCTGAGAGACGGGGACAGGTACAACTGAAATGAAAACAAGATTATTAGCATAAGGATGCAAGGAGCGAAATCTAAATTTGCCTTTGTCTACCGAGGTTTTGGTGGGAGCGCGAAGGAGTGTTCAGCAGCACCCAGAGGAGACACCTGCATGGCATCTCTCTGTCCCGCATCATTTGTGACAACAGCCACATCACCCACGTCCCTGCCGACCCGTTCTCACGGACAGAGAGACCAGAGGACATGCTGACCTGTTCCCACCCGCTCATCCCTCACCTTGACCTCAGCCCCTGGAAAGAACCAGACTCAGGTGATGAAGTGGAAATAAAGACATGCCAAGTGTTTAATCAGGGTTGTTTGTTTCACTGACTTCTCTCTCCCAGACCCCAGCTGCGGTCCGATACCCAGGATTCAGTCCGGCTACTCCATGCTCTGTAACTCCGTGATTCTTTATCAGTGTCACTCGGGCTTCAGGCTGCTGGGCTCTTCGTCTGTCAGCTGTGATCCAAGCAGCCAGCAGTGGAGCCCCACGCCCCCAACATGTCAAGGTACGGTGGTTAAACCAAGGCCTGGTCTAGTACATCACAGGATGTAAGGACTTTTAGACCATGTTGACTTAAAATCTTCTATATTTACAGTGAACAAAACAATCTCACAACACTTTCCATTTAAAGTCAAAAGTGAACTGACAGTATAACTCACTTACAGCTAACTTTTAATGAAGCAAAAGCTCCATTTGGGAATTATTTCTAAAATGTCTGAGACCCCTTTAACCTCTTCTCACCACCAGTGTACTTCAGTCAGCCATATACTGTATAAACCAATCTGCCACCACATTAAAACCACCTGCATAATATTATGTAGGTCTCCCTCATGCTGCCAAAGCATCTGTGACTTACTGAAGCCTGGAATCCACAGACCTCTGAGGGTGTCCTGTGGTATCAGGCACTAAGACGTTAACAGCAGATTCTGTAAGTCCTGGAAGTTAGAGGAGTTAAGGCCTCTTTGGATCGAACTTGTTTTTCTAGCACATCCCGCAAATGCTTGATCAGATAGAGATTAGGAAAATGTGAAGGAGTCCACACCTTGAACTCTTTGTCATGTTCCCTAAATCATCCCTGAACGCTTCTTGCTGTGTGGCAGAGAGCATTATCCTGCTAAAAGAGGCCACTGCCATCAGGAAATACTGTTACCTTGAAGGGGTGTACGTGGTCTGCAACAATGTGTTGGGAGGTGACGCATGTCAAAGTAACGTCCGAACAAATGCCAGGACCCACAGTTCCCTGGCAGAACATTGTAGGTGCTTTCAGAGGTGGACAGGGGTCAACTGTAAACTGCTACCTCTCCCTTCCAGATACAAAACTGATTTCTCATCTCTTTGTTTTTGTCTGATTGTTGCAGATGTAAATGAATGTGAAGAGCTGATTTCTCCTTGTCCACAACACTTAGAGTGCCTCAACATGCAAGGTTCCTTTATTTGCTCAGGTTGGTTCAGGTTAATTCCACGTTCCTGTTACGACACAGAACATGTCCGTCAATTCTGAACCTTCACACGTCTCTCTGTGATCCAGAGCCCTCCTCGCTGTCTGCTGTCTCTGTTGTCACTGCGGTGATGGTGGTGATCGGTGGTGTGGTCGTGCTGGTGATGATCATGATCTGTTATCGAAGGTAGGTCACTGGAGGTAGAAATCAATGAAACACTACATGGGTGCTGATTTATCCATTTCATGCCAATATGTGACTGCTGACTAGTGGGCCTACATATCAGAGCAGAAAATACTCATTTACAGCGTAAAATGAAGCCATACATAGCCAGGGAAATAACAAGTAAAATTAAAGCCGCAAGCGGCGATGGACGGGTCCTCGC